TGTAACGGTTCAAGTAGATGTATGTGTGCGAGAAGTTTGTGTATGTATGGGGATCAAAAACCCTTTACAGTTAACCCTTGTGTGTGTGTGTGTGTGTGTGCTTTTTCGTGGATTTCTGAGAGACGAAGTCCCAGTCCGAATCCGGAATCCGTAACCGAACTCAAGTCCCAATCGCAGTTGGCCGGACATTGCGTTTTTTAATGCCAGCCCTCCCCACCCCACCACTTTTTTACATCAATCATGTGTGTGCACACAATGGTGGTCAAACTATCGAGAAACCCAACTCGGACTAAACAACATTTGGAAGAAATATTTCAACAATATCTTTAGCGCTTCTCTGAAAAACATTACAATATTCCTACGAAAAATCCAGCCAAATCCTCTGATTGTATGTTGTCTTATAATATTGATCTGAAACCGAAAAAAAAACCCAGACAATTTTTCAAACATTTCATCACTTTTTCGATATTGCACGGAATGATATTTCCCGTGGGTCATTCGATACGAATGTATCCTTTCGCTTAGGAGAAATTATTCAACGAAAAAACATACATATGTTCTCGATAAGCATTTAATAGTCCAATCGATCTACTTAAAAGTCGGAGACAACAAGAGCCAAAGCCTATTGGTACCCCTTTCTTATAAGATCGTTTCTTAAATGATCGCTTTTGGGCCCCAGCGCACGGAGGGCACCAGATCCGATTATCGTATTCCCCTGGAGGGGGAAGAACCTTCCATTCGATAATTTCCTTGAATCTGAGTATCGGAACGACTATACGTACGTATACGTGTACATCTTGGCACTGATATTCCTTCACTTATGTACAATATGTACAGCTATGTATAGTATTTATATATGCATATACATATGTACATACGTACTTACCGAAATCTTTGTTTATTTTTTGTACAACTCTCCCTTTATGCAATTTATTTGCCAGCATTCTTCTTTTTCTGTTGCTTTTAAGCTGTAGGTTTTTTCTTATTTTTTTATCGAACTTTCTTTTGGCATTTCAAGCAGCAGCAAAAACAAGCAAGAAATTTTAGTTTTTTTGGCTGCACCGAAGCTAGGGATACTCTCGGGTCGTGGGCTTTAGATAGACTTGGAAATCCTTTGCCTTCCACCGATGTGTTTCACCTGAGAAGCTGAATCCAAATGGAATTGGAATTTGGGCACCAGAAGAAGATCCTTCGGAGCCTTCCCCGCCTGGCTGAGTATACCCTCTGCTAAAGGGTATACAATTTTGGTTTCGGCTTCCCGCAATACCTCCTCTCTTTCTACCTCTTCCTCTTCAGCTGTGACTCCTTTGTTGCTGGACAGCCCTGGCCCTCTTTTTCTCTCATTTCTAACTCTTTTTCTGTGGCGAATTTTGACGAGTTTTTGTTTAGGATATCTTTCCCTCCCTCTTGCTGTATTTGAGGACCATTTTGTATACTCTGGACATAAAACGCAACCAACATAAAGTTCTGTTCGCCCCATCTCTCCTATCCCCCTTGGTTGTTCTTTTTTTTCGGTTGTTGTTGCCCTATCCGCCCCCCACCCCCTCCGCAGGCTCGTGTATTAGTACTAAAAGTAAGAATGCATGAAAAAAAGAGACACCCAAATAAAAAGGTAGCAAAATTGTTTGGGGGGAAAATTCTTGAAATTTATTACTGGAATAGAGCAAGGATTACACGATGACCGAGGATGAGAGAGAGCTGTGGGCGATGGTACACTTTATCCCAAAAGTGGAAAACCCCTGCCCCAATACCAATACCAACCCTAACCCCAGCCTTTATCTTCGTTTCAAAAATACCTACCTACATATTTGCGAATTAATTTGTATTATCATAGGTACATATACTACGACCAATTTCCTCGTATGTGTCCCTTTTAAAGTCACATTTTCCCTTGCAATGGCTTTTAGTTTGATACAACAAAAATCATTGAAGACTGAAACTGGAATTTCGATACACGGGTAGACCCCGTTTTTTCCTCCTTTGTGTTTGAATATTCAAAAATCTTTGGCAAGATCTTTGGTGGTCGTCGATTGGCTGTGAAACTCTTTGAAATTAATGTTCCTTTACCTTATTGAGTTTGAAGTGGACTGCAGCAAGCCTATGTATCAAAGGCATACAAATTTCCCATAAGCGAACGGACACTTCGATCTGATTCGATGCGATTCGGGATTCCCTTCGTTCGGGTCTATAGAACCCCCGAATCGCTCTCCCAAAACGGACTGCCATTGTGTTAAGGTCTGTGCCGATACCGATACCGATCTCGGATTCGGGGTGATTCGTGTCTGACTAAGAGCAAGAATGCTGTGGATCAAGCAGGGCTGTGCAGCGAAACGAGACGGGAGATAGAGCTTAGGTTTCCAGGGTTGTCTGTACATTTGGTCTTTTGCGATTCCAACGATTCAACTATACTAATCCAAGACAATATTGATATCAACGATAATTATCTGACAATTCTGCGTCATTCGAGACTGCATTTGTACTAAATATTTACATTGAAACAAACATTTACATTGAAACAAACATTTACTTGAATCTTGTCACTGTCTGCCGCTCCAGCGCTCCTTTAGTCCCTCGCATAGTCCGCAAGGACCTCACACCAACAACAAAAAAACTTTGTAAACACTTTTGCTGTAAGCGGAATTTTCAGGAAACTTTTACACGACTTGTAGTTGTAGATACATATATAATTAACTGCCACATGGTACTGCTTTTAATCGGATATAGCATTTAATTAGAAGAGCTGTGATGACTAGGGGATAATCGCTGAACATGAACCAATGCGGGTACTTCCACTGGAATATACTTGTACTGTGTCTGTGAGGTATTTCCGAGTACGCTTAAACAAACACTGACTACAGTTAGTTCTTTAAACTTGTGTGTGGATGTTTTTCCTTTTACCAAACCTATCTTTTGTGGCCTTGTAGTCGAATGGCGAATGCCATTCATTTATGGGAAATTTGCACACACAAATGTAATCCTATCCCATGGCTCTCGGCTACAATCAGTTTCGGGAATGTGGCGTTTTTTTCTGAGAGGATCCCCAACGATAGGCGATGCCCAGGGGGGCAGAGATGAAAATCAATTTATTTCGAAATACAATTACAACGAATCTGTGGACAAAAACCAGCAACAAAAGGGGTTTTATAATTGCTCTTTTCATACTTTTGTTTTCATTTTCATTCGCCACACGATATATCGTACAATATTTAAGTACATTGACAGATTGGTCCCAGGTCCCGCGTCTCGGATTTTTTTTATTGAGCGCCAACTCTCTTGATATATGAACACTCGCCATGTACTATATGCTTACTACTCGTACTCGTATTCGTATTCGTTCGCTATGTACTACGTTTTATATTATGTATGGGGCGTGCTCGGAGGAATGGTGGAATGCTCGGAGAAGCGACAAACAAAATAAACTTTTACCTGGCGCATAATATTTTCCTTCTTTTGTATAAAAGCACACAAAAAAAGAAAAAATTATGAAAATGTTTATATATGTATGCGAAAAAAAAAAATAATAATAGAAGCGAAGAAGAAAACATCAAGTGAAGAAAAAACCAAAAAACAAAGAGAGAGGGAGAGGGAGAGGGAGCGTGGTGGAGTCCGGGAGGGGGGGAAAATATAATAATAAAATGAAAACGAGGACGAACATTTTTATGGTGCTGCAGTCTGAAAGGAAAAACTCCCTATCCTATCCCTTCTTACCCCACCCCCCCTTCCTCCACAAGCAACGTTTTTCGCTTTCCCTACTCCACCTCATGCACCTCCTGGCCCCGTGGAAAAACCTTCTCCATAGCCCCTCACCAGAGTCATTGACGCTTCTTTGTTGCTGCAAAAAATATCTCTCTTCTCTCTCTCTCTCTCTCTGTGGATGCCGGGACGGACCCAGCTTTTTTGATCAGTTCCCATGATGCGGAGCATAAAGGGAGAATTTTGATTATTTATTGAACAATTTTGTGTGAAATAATTCGCCATAAATTTAATACGGAAAAATACCTTGAAATGAGAAAGAAAGACAAGAAAAAAAAAAAAAACGAAAATCCTTGCATCGCAGGCCTGCACAAAAAAGTTGTTCATTAATCATTGAACACTTGGGTTGGGGTGTTCTCCGATTGACATTTACACCAACACTGACACACACACACACACAGCTAAAGTACCAAAAAGGATAACAAGTTTATCGCGTATACGTAATACGAGTATAATACTCTTAAATTCAGCGAGGCAACAACACAAAAAAAAAAACAATAACTATTTTTTTTTTTTTTTTTTTGCTTTATTTCCACGTTTACGAGTATGCTGGTATGCAGATAAATCGGGAAATACCCTCGTTATTTAAAGTCAATTATTTAATTGATATCATGGGGCTGGCAAAAAAGAAACACTCATCTGTGAAGAGCGTTTTGTGCCTAACGATCCTATCCTGCGGCTAGAAAGAGTCTTCTTTCCGGCTCGCTACCGATGAAAGTCTTTTCGTGGGACAAAAGTACTCTAAGTAGACCTGCTTAAGTATCCTTTTGTATACCCGATATTGAAAAAGAGTAGTAGTGGTTTCGATCCCCTTAAGCATATACATATATTCTTGATCAGCATCAATAGCCGAGTCGATATAGCCCTGAGTGTCTGCCCCCAAATCTCAGAGACTATAGGAGCTCTATGGTAGCTCTTGTTAAAAGTGTATTTCAAAATTTCACCATGTATCTACGAAAAACAGGCAGATTCATAATGAATGACCGTATCTAACAGACTGCAGAATCTGAATCACATTGGATTACTGTTATAGCCGGAATACTCATTTTCTGTCTCTCTCCCACACACTCTTCCTGGGGCAGGGTGCGCCCTCTGGCGGAGGAGAGCCATACCGAGATTTATCAAGAATTTACGTGCAGGAATAATGGGGATTTAAGAATTTCCTTGACACAATTTTTTGTTGGTTTTCCCAACACTTTCAAAAGTTATTTCAAATTTCATACACAAACTAAATATTTGGTTTTTAGTTCCAGAGCCCGTGAACAGTGCAACGGTGCAACAGTAGCAACAGCAGCGGCAGCGGCAGCGGCCCGGCCTCACCATGCAGCCGCAGCAGTACTGTCTGCGCTGGAAGTACCACCACAGCAACCTGCAGATGATGTTCTCGCAGCTGCTGGACCGCGGCTGCTTCTGCGACGTGACCCTGGCCTGCGAGGGCCAAATGATACGCGCCCATCGCGTGGTGCTGTGCGCCTGCAGCACCTTCTTCGACTCGGTGCTCACGAGCTATGCCAGCGAGCGGGATCCGATCATCATTATGAAGGACGTGACCTTTGCGGAGGTCAAGTGCCTCATCGAGTTCATGTACAAGGGGGAGATCAATGTGGAGCACGTGAGTATCCCAGCGCACTGAGTCCGCCGCTCATGCTCATCGGAATGTCTTTGGTTTTCGGTTTAGGCCAGCCTCCCATCGCTGCTGAGGACTGCCGATGAACTGAAGATCAAGGGCCTGGCCGAGGTGAGTTGGCGCGACGATGAGGATGGTCCGCCGCCGCCCATGCCCACGGCCGTGTTCCTCTCGCCGCCGCGCAGCCTGGCCGAGAGCTATGCCCAGGACATGTTGCACCACCAGCAGCAGCAGCAGCAGCAGCACCCACCACCGCAGGCACCACTCCAAATGGGTGCCACCACAGAGAGGGATCACGATCGGGAGCCCTCCATGGAGAGCGTGCTTGGCCGCATGCCCTCGCAGACACCACAGCCAGGATCAGGAACAGGAGCCAGTAGCGAGCATCAAGCGGGAGTTGCGCCCGTGGAACACTTTATGGGACCGAAGCGCAAACGAGGACGTCCCCCACTAGACGATGCCTACGATGTATTCAATGTGTAAGCCACCACAGACCCCCTCAATTGTCAGCTAATCCTTCTAATGTGCCACCATTCTCTCCAGCCGTAAGCTGGCCCACTATGCTGCCAGCCTGGAGCCCGCCCAGCGAGCGTATTTGGAGTCGGCCCGTCACTTTGTCGAGGAGCCACCCCAACAGCTTGCTGCACATTCCAGCTCGCTGGCCTCCCCGCCCGCCTCCGCCTCCAGCCTCAGCCTGCCCAAGCAGCGACAGCGCCAACGCCATCACCAGCAGCAGCTCCAGGCTGTCGGCTCTGAGCAGGACTCAGATGCAGCAGATAGGGGGCCCAATGGCATTCAGCGCAGCGCCTCGCCCAAGACCAGCGATGGCAACGAGGGAGCCAAGCACGTGCTCGAGACCAGAAATGAGGCGGCGCAGCAGGTGCTAGGCACCGCCACAGTGGGAGCGCCCTCCAAGAAGCTGGAGAAGATTAGCGAGCGCCGGGAGCGTCACGGCAAGCTGCGCCACGCCCGCCGCCACTACGGGGGAGGCGAGCACGAGAAGTCCTCCGAGAAGCGCCACTCCGAAGAATCATCATCCCAGGGACAGAGTGCCCTGCCGCAGCCCGTCGAAGAGATCGAGAACGAGCATCTGGTGGCCAATCGGGCCGAGTCGCCCGCCGCCCGCTGCCCATCTGCGCTGGTACCCGCCAGCTTCAGCCGCAAGTACGAATCGGCTGTTGGGGGGGCAGCCTCCGCAGGCACTGGGGGAGGATATTTGATCAACGAGCATGGCCTGCTGATGCCGCACGAGTTTTCACCGACTGTGGCCAGTGCAGCAGCGGCCACCGCTGCCGTGGCCGTGGCAGCAGCTGCTGCGGTGGCCGCCAGTGCCAGTATCAGTGCCAGTGCCAGTGCCAATGCCAGTGCCAGTGCCAGTGCCAGTGCCATCAATGGGATCCACAGCCAGGGCCAGGGTGAGCAGGGGGAACTGGAGGACTATGATGCGGCCGAGCTGCGTCTGACCAACGAGGAGCTGTCGGAGTGGCAGGACGTGATCAAGATGGACGACTACTTGGCCAAGGGGCGTCGTCCACAGTTCTGGGAGGAGCCATTCACCAAGCGCGTAAGTCTCCCATAACCTTACTGATGCAACGAATACTTGAGCGCATTCTCGTTTGCATTCCAGGTGCTGGATGCCATCAAAAACAAAAGACTTGAGATGAAAAAGGCCGCCCGTATTTTGGGCGTTTCCTATGGCACACTGTACGGGCGCTACCGCGAGGTCTATGGCTGCCTCAAGCATCCCTACAGGTGAGCAGACGCCCACCATCACCATCTCCACCAGCCATGTCATCCTAGCTCTCCGGCTCTCCTCTCCACTCTTCCACACAGCTTCACGAACTATCGTAACTTTGGGCCATCGCCTTCAGCCGCGGGCGGCCAGTTGGCCGTTCAGCCTCGTTTCGATCTGAGCCTCCGCGCTGGGGCCGCACAGCCCTCGCAGTTGGGTGGTAAGTGAGGGACAGACAGCAGCTTTCTCCAAGCACCCACTAATCCAGATACTTATTTACAGAACTGGGAAAACTGAAGAAGGATCTGAGCGAGCTCTGGACTCGCCCGCAGATTTGAGAACCACCAACAGCAGCAGCATCAGCAGCAGCAGCAAAACCAACGAAGAAATCTCGAAATCTCAAGCGCCGCCACAGGCTGATATAGGAGAGGCAGGAAGCAGACAAAAGACACAATGATATGATCCCAAAAAGGGATCACGAGGCTAGTTAAAGCAGATAGAAGTAAAGGAGATCGATTGCCGGAGATATTTGATCCACAGAAACCTTTCCAAAATAAGTTTCCACATTAATATATATATTTTTTTTTCTTCGTGTTAAAACACTCACACGTCAGATTTAATGTGTCTGCTGGGGGCGATCTTAATATAATATAATAATTAAATATATATTATGAAAATACGTCTACAAATATATACATACATATATAAACACACGCACCCATACATGCAAACACATATGTGTGCATATTAGCTAATGTAAAGTACAGGCAGAGTGGGGTGCGGTACTAGAACGGTATTAATCAGCATTCAATGTGAATTATATAAGATGCGATTAGCAGCGTGTTTCTTTTGGTAGTGAAATTCTGATAATATAAAAACTATGAAATCTAGTTAATCATTAAACGTAATAACTGACAAACGGGAATCCGAAAACAGTATGGGCAATTTTTTTATAAGTTAACAGACACAACAACAACAACAACATGAAGAAAAACAAAACAACAAACAATATGTATTACATACAATGAATATGTTTGAAACGAAATAAAATAACATCAATTTAAATTATTTGCTAATGCAAATAGTCCGTCAACGTGTGAATTTATTTTTTTGTCGGACAGCAATTAACAGAAAACTTGAACTGGATGACCGTTAATGGTTAACAGAGTGCCGTTAGTCGGGAATAAATGATGCTCATAACAGCTCGCTGTTAGTCGAACAAAAAAACAGCGGACCAATCTATTTATTTTATGTTTTTATTATATACTATTGGATTATAAGCCAAAAATTATATGGTCATAGGTTTTAGTTTTAGTCAGCATTATTCAACGGAATATCAAAATTGAGCAATAGGAACGGTTTGGTTTTTATTTTACCTAAAACCCTTTTTTTAGACTAAATCCAACAAAAGCGACAGCTTAAAATAAACCAGTCAAGTGGAAAATAGATAAATTAATTGGAAAAAATTATGTGGGCAGGGCTGAGTGATCTAGATAGATAGTAATATTCGACGGAATATCAAAAACGAAGAATATTGATGGAACTTGGATAGTTCGTCAGTATATTTACGGTAGATGTGGAAATTTGTGACGTATATTTCGGTATATTTCTGATGGTCTAGGGGTTTCTGGCGGGCTGGCAGCGCCACCAAAAACAGCTGTATTTATTGTTTTTTTTGACGCTCGCCCGCTCGCTGAAGTGACGGGAGGAAAGGCCGGCCCTAGCAGAAGAAGAGGCAAGTAAAGACATTTATTGGAGTGGCATTATCAACAGCTTAAAAATGCACAGGTCAGAGGGTATCGTCGCCACAACAGCCGCAATATCAACAAGAAAACATCGTTTCGGTGACGACGCTTCCGTTTGCTTCTTTGCCGCTAGTTCAGATCTGAACGCCAGTAGCCGCAGAGGGGAAGAGACACATGTAAGCGGACACGCACAACACATTTCCAGGATTCCATTTAAACGCTCTTTTAAGTTATATCATGCAGCGCATAAGCCATCACCTAACACAAAAGCTCGTGCCAGGCCTTAGCAGAGACTTGAACACCAAAACGGTTAACTTTTCTCTTCGCCAGCGGCAGCAGCCGGTCCGAGCTTTTACACAGAAATTATTGCCGGCAGCGCTGCTAACGCCATCATTTCCATTCGCGATCAGACGATATTCGGAAGGCAAAAAAACCACAACTTTGGGCTCGGTAAGCGCTGTTCCTCCAAAAAACCCAAACTAAAATTAAACAAAATCATTTTGATTAAGACCAGCACACCACTAATATAATAATCATTCGAGTGTTGTTTTTTTATTTTGCGTGTGATTGCAATCGTGTGTTTCACATAGTTTTGTGTGCGTGCGTGTGTTTCTTTGTTTTGGAAGCTTTAATGTACATGTGCCGACGCCTGTGTCGCCATGCTTTTCCATTCTAATTAGTTGCGATACCCAGTAATTTCTAGAGAGAAAGGCTAGCGTATTCGGCGCTAAGGTTTTCCTGAAAAATTTTGTTGTTTCTGGAATGGTTAACTTTTAACAAATTAAAATAGAGTCTTTTCACCAGAATTTTGTCTGGGGAGGGGTGTTGTTTAGTCGAAATACTCTTATTTAGTTGTTGTTAGTTTTTTTTTTTTTGCTGCTCAGCCTTAAACTTGTTTCGGCCTACTCAAATTTCTTTGGTTTCAGCAGTTTCTTTCGTCAGACCCACATCTGGCAATGGCCATTAAATTGAATTTCATCTAGAAAATGCCTGTGCACCCAATTTTAAGGCCCCCACTTTTGGGGGAAGCACCGATTTTCAATACCAAATGTATTTCCATTTGCATTCAATTGCATCTCGACAGACCCACATCTGGCAATGGCCATTAAATTGAATTTCATCTAGACACAGGCATTTGTGTACCCAATTTTAAGGCCCCCCTTTTGGGGGAAGCACCGATTTTCTCACCGATTCTCTAGAACAAAGTAAAATTTGGAATGCATGTGTGAATAACAAGTGGAAAATAGAACTGTGATGGTGTGATGTCGAACTTTGGATATTAATGGCTAAAACTTGAGAGTTCTCCACCCCAAAAGATATACAAATTAATGATTCAATACGTAGTGTGAAATATTGCACTCAAACATGGCTAAACTTGTGGTCCTTTTTTAATTTTTTATTAGTTGAATCATTTCTTGAATTGATTCTTTATACTTTTTTTACTATTTTGCCTTGTAACATTATAAATTTGTTGTATGAATTTTATTAGGCCGCAATGAAGTGTTTGGGAACTGCAAGAACCACACATTGTATCTTCCATTAGCTGCTGGGATGTAGCTCCTTTAAACCCTAAATATATAATCGATCTATATGTATAGCTTGAAAGACAAAATTCATTCTTACCCAGCGATGTATATTTCTGTTTTGGCAAGTTGTTTTTTTTTTTTGTTGTGGAGCAAAGAGTATCTTCTTATATCTGCCAAAGGATCCTTTTTTTGTACATTTTAATTTCGTTTTTCGTTAGTGGATTACTAGAAGATAAGATACTATCATTTAATATAATATTAATATTATGAAGAACTTTAAAGAAAGATATTTATTCTTACGCAGGGATTTTTTTGACATTCTTATTTCCATTTTCGGTAGATTAATGGAAGATATGATACTAGCAGTGAATGGGTTTTCGTTGATTTTTTCTAACTGAATATTGAAAAGATACATACTAAGAACTGCGGATTATAATGTTTAATGTGGATTATAGAACTGCAGCAACAAAATGTTTACTTACCAAAACAAAGATTTTTGTTGTGTTGATCCTAAGCTACCAGCGAGATCCAGCCGGCAACCATTAGGATGACACCAGCGATGACAATCGACCTGATGCGCCGCTCTCCTGTGAAGGCGCAATAGTACATCGAACCGCTGAATACAGCCGTTCCGCTGATGATCAGTGTGCCGGTCATTACTGGGTAATGGGCAAACGGAATGATCATCATGGCGAAGGAGCTAATGAAATGTAGGTGGCTAGTGCAATCAGCATATTCCTGGGCCTGCAGCTGGTCTTTCGGACTCATATCCCGCACCATATACTTGCAGACGGCGGCCATGAGTAGGGCCACGGCGGCGGATATACCAGCCAGGATCTCAAATTTGTATTTGTGGGCGACCATCAGGTCGATGCAGTCAACCACGACGCTGGCCGGCACCACATCATGGACCACCACTGGCAGCACCATCATCTCCTGGGGCACTATGATCTTTGGGCGTAGCCCAAGACCACGCAGAATTGTGGCACCCGTATAGAGAATGGCCCGGCCCACCGGATTCACGCTGATGGCGTCAATAATATCGCTATTTATCATTTTGTTTTAGTTTTAACTGAAATTATTTTTTCACTACACTGGAGAGGATTAGATGTCGACTACGTTTAGAGAAATGTTGAGACTGACTTCGAAAAACTTTGAAAAACATCCTGTTGCCTACTAGGATTTTTCAGTTTCCAGGTTTCTAGAGTTTTCTAACTGTAATAATGAATTATTTTTACGTCAGCTTCTATGGGGGCCGTACCTTATCAGTAGCCTGAACTTTTCACCCTACCAAAGACAGGGAGAGAAACAGCGATAAGATCAAGGCTAATCCCAGCCATGGGGGGTCGCCGCTAACTAAAAATAGAAGACACACAAGACCCTAAGGGGCGTGTACAGATACATATAGAATGAAATCAAATATTGCTACGATTATATCCAAAAAATAATCTAATCGAAGGGGAAATGTCGTTGCCCTGGGTGCATCTCCAAAATAATCTAATCGAAGGGGAAATGTCGTTGCCATGGGCGCATCCCCATCGATCTGTCAATCAGAGCCTTATCGGCAGAACTTTTCCAATGCTATTTGAACCCATTGAACCGCCCCGACGTATGGGAGGGTACATTTTTGCAACAAAAATATTTTTGTTGTTCCCAACTGTCGCGTGAAAAACACAGCCAAAACACACCCTTGATCGCTGTCGAGGCGCGGATCGTCTTGCACTTAACGTCAGAGCATTATCGATCGTTGCACTGATCGCATCGCATCGCATCGCATCGCACTTGTTAATTAATTATTTTGTAAATTATTCGAAATGCAGAAAATGGAGGATCAAAAACTGCTGCAGGCCACGCTGGAGGATAGCGATCCGGAGCTGGCGAATCTCATCAAGCAGGAGAAGGAGCGACAGCGCGAGGGACTCGAAATGATTGCCAGCGAGAATTTCACTTCGGTGGCCGTTCTGGAGAGTCTTGGCTCCTGCCTGACCAACAAGTACTCGGAGGGATATCCCGGCAAGCGGTAAACACAATTCCTTTGAATCCAGCCACCTTCTGTAGAAAATATACAATAACCCATACCCATACCATACACAGGTACTATGGCGGCAACGAGTTCATTGACCGCATCGAGCTGCTGGCCCAGAAGCGCGGCCGTGAGCTATTCAATCTGAACGAGGAGGTGTGGGGCGTGAATGTCCAGCCATACTCGGGCTCTCCGGCCAATATGGCCGCCTATGTGGGCGTCTGTCGTCCGCACGACCGCATCATGGGCCTGGATCTGCCCGATGGCGGTCATCTGACGCACGGCTTCTTCACGGCCACCAAACGGATCTCGGCCACCTCGATCTTCTTCGAGAGCATGCCGTACAAGGTGAACCCCGTGACGGGCATTATTGACTACGACAAGCTGGCCGAGGCGGCCAAGGCCTTCAAGCCGCAGATCATCATCGCCGGCATCTCGTGCTACTCTCGCCTGCTCGACTACGGACGCTTCCGTCAGATCTGCGACGATGTGGGCGCCTACCTAATGGCCGATATGGCTCATGTGGCAGGTCTGGTTGCTGCCGGTCACATACCATCGCCCTTCCAGTACGCCGACATTGTGACCACAACCACGCACAAAACCTTGCGCGGACCACGCGCCGGCGTCATCTTTTTCCGCAAGGGCTTGCGCAGCGTAAAGACCAACGGGGACAAGGTGCTGTACGATCTGGAGGATCGCATCAATCAGGCCGTCTTCCCATCGCTGCAGGGCGGACCACACAACAATGCCATAGCCGGCATTGCCACCGCCTTCAAGCAGGCCAAGTCCGCGGAATTCAAGAGCTACCAGTCCCATGTGATCAAGAACGCCAAGGTGCTTTGCGAGGCCCTGATTGCCAAGGGCTATCAGGTGGCCACCGGCGGCACTGATGTCCATCTCGTGCTGGTGGATGTCCGAAACGTCGGCCTTACCGGTGCCAGGGCGGAGCTAATTCTCGAGGAGGTAGGAATTGCCTGCAACAAGAACACCGTTCCCGGGGACATGTCCGCCATGAATCCGTCCGGTATCCGTTTGGGCACACCGGCGTTGACCACGCGCGGCCTTGTCGAGAAGGACATCGATCAGGTGGTGAACTTCATAGATGCGGCCCTCAAGATCGGCGCCGAGGCCGCCCAGGCTGCGGGCAGCAACAAGATGGTCGACTTTCAGAAGGTCCTCGCTGAAGATGCAACGATCAAGGCCAAGATCGAGCAGATCCACAAGTGCGTGATCGCGTTCAGCAAGCAGTTCCCTCTGCCCGGCCTCAAGACTTTTTAATACGCAAAAGCATTTAAAGCATTTGTTTTTTTTCACGTCCGTTCGCATCCTTTCGCCAAATGAAATGCAAAGAATTTAATTGTTTGTAATAATTTCCGATTGCCAGAAACAAGTGGAAATAGTTGTTAAGATAATAAACAAACAGAAACCTCAATTGAATGGCCGTTTTGTTGGACTGGGATGGAACGGGGCTGAGGTCTGGGAACTACCAAATGGAATTGGAGAGCAGCAGAAGCAGGCAACCTAACAAGCCTCCTCATTCACACGACATGTATGTTGTTTGTGCGTTTCTCGAGGGCCTGGCTTAAGTTTACTATCTCTTGTTTATGTGTTTATGCATCGCTTGTGCGTCTGGCTGGCGCCGATTGTCGAAGAATGCATCTCGGGAGTGCCCTGATATGCATTATTTGATTCCTTTCACTACTGGAATGCTTTCCAACTGCCGGAATATCACATGATTAACTGATCTGCACAGAAATAGTGAATGCTTATCCCTCGAAGAGTCACTGAAGATGTCATTCTGCAATTAAAGCTCGAATTCAATGCAGTTTCTCTCCACACGATTTGTTTTGTGTATTTTGTTAGGCCGTCCGGTCTGTCACGGCCAGTTGCACAATACACTTCTAATTGTCCTAATCGAACCTGAGGCACGGCGCACATTCCTCTCAGAGAGCAAAGATAATGATTAGCGTACAAAAACTTCGTGTGAGATTGGTTAAATTTCTCTAAATTGGTCGATAATGTATTATTATTAGAAGACAAGACAAGCAAAACTACATACATACAATCTATGGCAGATCTATGGCCAGGGGCCTTACAATTAAATCGATATAGTCGAGTATTCCGACTATTAGATACCCGTCCTACTCTTTGAATTGTACAATTATGCAGAACGAAGCATCTCCGAACCCCATAAAGTGTATATTCTTGATCAGCATGAAGAGCGGTGTTTACTCTGTCCTATATGCTTCAGACTGTAAGTCTTCCAGGCTTCAGTTTTGTGGCTATGCCAACGTAATGCTAACATAAGATTTTCGTGGCATTTGTATATGCTTAAAAGTGGATTTTATCGGCCAAAGATTATCTTGCAAGGAGCTCAAACTCTCCTCGGCCTCGGCGGGGTCGTAGTTCAATTGCCAGATCTTTGATTTATAGCGTCTAATCGTGTCTTGTCGTTGCTGCACCATCAAGTGACCCAGCGACACAAATCCGAAGGTTACGCGCGGACTCCTTCCCCTGCTGAACCGACTGAGCGGCGCTGCCGCATGACGCGTACAAAAGTGTACAAAAAATCAATCTTTGTACTTTGTAAGAAAAAACCTACTCATTCGGAACCAGTTTGATAGGGAGCTGATCGGGAAAACGTGCTTTTACAAGGTCCGGCTCAGACGTATAATGGCTTACTGGCTGGGTCCTCAAGAGGCACAAAACTGTACAGGAACTGTACTGTGAGGTACTATACAAGGTGGTAGCACTACCAAGTCCTTTCCTTTCGTAGTGAGAGCGTTTATTATATAGCTATTATGACCTGATCGATATTGTCTGTGGTCTATGGGGCAAATGTTATGGATTCCGACAGTCTTTCCCATTTCCCATTCGTGATTCATAGATCGTTTCAAAACATACGGACGAAATGGACGAAGAATGCTGATTCAGGGTTAGGTTGTTCGAACACGCTTCCTTCTGCCAAATACCGGGTATGAAAATAGTTTTTGTGTCTCAGTTGATGTTTAACCATTTGCTTCAGTGATCGGCCGTTTCGATTTTGATGAACTCCTTGCTCTGACGCAGATCGCGATGGAAACGAGAGTTGTGCGTGGACAGGGACCACTTGGTCTTGAAGCTCTTCATGCAGATATAGCACTCGTGCTGTTTGTCCTGTATCTCCGAGTGCCTGGAAGCGATGTGTCGCCTCAAGGCGTTCGTTGACTTGAGGCGACGCTTGCAAAAGTGACAGATGAGTGGCATCTCTGGCGCTGTCTCATCCTCGGCCAGCGGATCGGTATCCGTATCAGTTCCTAATCGAAGTCCAGGTCCACCTCCAGTTCCACTCGGGGCTACAATATATATAGAAATGTAGCTATATTATCTATATATACATACACATATGCATTATATCCCTCCCCAATTTGTTTAGCATAATTGATTCACTTTCGTTTAATTGGTTTACACATGTATTTTGTTTTGTTTTTATTTCTTTCTCTCTCTCTCTCTTTCTCTCTGACGTTCTCTTTGTCATATGTCTCTTTCTCTGTCTGTCTCATTTTAGCAAAACGATTTAAATTGGATAATCTAGTCGTAGTTTCAGCTATTAATACATATTATATACAATACACATTATGTACTTAGGCCTATTGTGGGCGAGGGAGGGCGGGATCGATCGACTTGCAATCTCTATATCCCGTTATCTAGATATATAGTCGACGCTCGGCCATCCGGACTATGGGACAATGGCCCTGTATGGACACTCACAGAGTTTCTTGAAATTTGTTTGCAAAACGAATGTGTGTTCTTTCATGGTGGAATAATAAATGAAATAAAACAAAAGAATTGAGTCTAGATTAATTAATCAGATCATTATGTTATATATCGATAGTTTGGTAGATAGATTGAAACCGAACAGCGACTTTTCACAAGATCTTTTCATAGGAATATATTCGAAAATAAACATTGATAATGAATAATCGAAACAGTCTTTCATAAATTGAAGACCCTATGGTCATCCATACAGGCTCATACATTATGTATAGCATAGCTCTAGCTATAGCTATATACTATATATGTATATGTATACTATACATATGTGTGGATCGTTATATTAATACGTATGAGTTGGTTTCATTTAACTAGATAATCTTTAGTATGCATCTCTGTGGGTGTGTGTGTGTGTGTCGTGTTTAGAGAGAATTTCTACAGGTATTCGAATCTTAAAGTACATATTATCATACGATGACTTCCGTTTCTCACTTGGCTTGTGGGTTTAATCAAATAAACTAACGGAGGGTGGGGGTGGGTGTGGGGGCGGCGGTTACCTACAACTAATTTAGCTACTTTACAACGACTGCAATATCCACCTCTTCCTAAGCGACTATGCGGTATAAATCTCTCTCTTGCTTGAACACAGAATGGCCCACTATTAATGGTAATGAAGTCGGTTTGTACACAATTGGGATTATTATTGTATTATCTGTATCTGTATCTGTATCTGTGGGTTGAGCAAAGTACATAAATAGATTGATTGATTGGATTAAGCTTAAAGCCTTTGCTGGAAACATATGTGTTGTGTTTGTGTGTGTGTGTGGGTGTGGGTGTGTATATATACAATGACGGTCGGTATTTGTACTCTGCTATCTAATAAAAAAACGTTCCGATCCGTTGCACTAAGCAAAAGTACTTGGATACTAAAAATACATTTTACATACAATGGCTCTTGGTCAACGAGGGGGGGATCACCAGCTCTCCACTGACTCTTGACTGACTCTTGACTGACTCTGACTGGGCCTTGGCCTTAATCTTATTATGATATATACATATCATATATCATATATCGTATATCGTTTATCGTAGCTATATGAATGTATATAAACTAATGCTATTTTAGACACATATTACAATTTCTAGTCGTTTGTTAGACGTTATGCTAATGCTCCTCTTTCTTCTCCACACTTTTGCTTTGCATTTTGGAGTTTTTGACAAATTTTGGCTAATTTTGTTTGTTTTTGGGGGATGGCTGGTGGATTTCCTTTGTTTTTTTTTTTTTTGTGTGTGCACTGGAAAAATTAATCTTCGAGTTGTTATTGCTACTTGGACGTTATGCTCTATATAGTATTATATATATATTTATATATATATATATATCTTGGAATCTCGCTCTCTCTCTCTGTTTTGCACTCCGTGTGCACTCTCTGTGTTCCATTTAGTTTCGTATGCTGCCCATATTCATATTGAGGCTGATGAATGTCTCGGCAGTCGTGTAGATTGCCCATCAGTTCTCCGTCTTGATGGTCACCTTCTGTTCGTGCGAGATGCGTATGTGCTCACGGAGGCTGTATTTATTTTTGAAATTCTTATTGCAGAGATCACATTTGCGGGGCGGTTGTGGTGTATGTTGGGTGCGAATATGTCTCCAAAGATTAACCGTGGTAATAACCATTTTGCAAAACTGACATTCTGTCCACTTATTATTGGGCGAATCTAAAAATATATAGAAAATACGTACAATCAATACAAAACAGTTCGATGGCGTGGCCCCTGCCCGCCCATACCCTCTTTTCTCTCTCTCTCTCTCTTTGCGCCACCCTTTGAAGACATATTCGACAGCCACAACAACAACAACAACTCTTACGATATAAATGGGAGCGGGGTTTGGAGGGGGTACACATACAATCAAATGACTAAACTAAATACATAATTAGAGCTTGGAGTAGTGGGGGGAGTGGGGGCGGGAGGGGGCTAAGCACCAGTCTAGAGACTACAGAGCCCTGTGTACCCAGGGCCCAGGAACATCCATTTTACACCAGAAACTTAACTTAAACTTAACTTAAAAATCAAATTAATAATGCTTAAAGCCCCGACCGATCTCTTCGGGCATTTGTGTGCGTGTGCATGTGTGTGTGTGTGTGTGCGTGTGTTTTGTTAATATTTTAAATCATTTCAAATACAGCTACTGCAGTCCAACTCTCATCGAGCACCATATAATATCTAGTTCAAGAAGTGCAATTATTCAAATATTCAACATTCACTAAATAAATAAAAGGCATGAAAATTAAACACAAGCATTACAGCATACAACATATACGCATGTCAGATCGTGTGCTCTACCATTTTTTTTTTACCAATTTAAATAGGTATCGAATATGGCTTAAACCAGGGATCGCAAGAGTTTTAATTATGAAATAAAAATGAATTTCGACCTTTCATTATTAACATGAAAAACAATTATTATTTTTAAATTTAAAAAAAAAATTTTAATTTTAAAAATAAAAACATTTTTTTAATTAAAAAAAATATATTTTAAAAAAATTTGAATAGAAAACCATTTTTAAATTTTGAAAAATTGTTTATCAATTTTTAGATTCACAATCATTTTTCAATTATTAAAATAACAATAATTTAAAAATTCTTGAAAATAATCATTTATTTAACTTTTTTTCAGCGGTAGTTTTTTTTTATTTCAATTAGGATTGTATTTTGGATTTTTAATTATAAAATTATGTTTCTTTTCTGTTCAAAATGATTAAAAAAAATAAATAAAAATAGTTTTCAAATATTTAAAAATAAAAATCGTTCAACTTTTCAAATAAAAAATGTAATATAACAGCTTTAAAATAATTTGGAAAAAATGTATGATGTTCCTGAACACCTCTCCTCCTGAATAAATAGTTTGCATACAGAAGCTGTATTTTTTAGGTCACTTTTTCGAATTTAATTTGTTTTGAACTAATTTTGCAATTCTTATTTGTGATCTCTGGCCATAACAATGCAATATCCACCATCAAAAGCTATGCAGAGCAGAGCCCAAGGCCAGTCACAAAATGCAAAATGGGATCCAATAAAAAAAAAGTCCCCACCCAGTGGTACATCTCACTTACCATTTGGCGCCACGTTGCCGCCCTTGCCGTCCGCCTTGACCGGCGTCAGGGACACCGTAGTCGAGGGAACTGCCGACGGGCTGCCATCCTCTAGGACTGCATGCGGCGTGGATGTTGCCCCCGTCCCACTGCCTAGCAGGCGGGCTTTATTCGGAGGGGGAGGGAGGCAAAGAAGAGCGCCTTGTTAGATGGAATGGTCGAATTCTGTGCTGCCCAAAGGCTACTCACTCATTTCGATGGCTATCTCGGCATTTTCCGCATCCGCTTGATATTTCTCCTCGATCTCTGACTCGGTTAGTATCTCGTATTCGGATGAGTATTGGGCCACCGTTTGCGCTGCACCGGTCGTGGCATCCTGTGACGTCTGCGGCGTGGCGCCGTCCGAAAGGCGATCATCCACCTCGCTTACAATATAGTCGGGTATATCCATTTTGACTGCGCTTCGTAGGAAGGTCATATCAGAAGCTGCAAGAAGGCCAACGATCAGTTTGAATTTCAATCCTTTTGGGCTATATCCGACTTACTTTTCACAATAGTCTGGTCATCCTTGCCGGAATAGGCGACCGTTTCGGTGGTGTAGATGTTGTCATCATCGTCGGAGAAGGTTAGCTTGCGCTTCTTCGCCGCGGCCAGGGCCACCGCATTCGTGATGGTCAGATGCTGTGGTGTTGTAGCCACTGGCTGTGTTAGCTGCTGCTGTGTCTGTTGCTGCTGCTGCTGCTGTGGTGGTGGTGGCGCCGATTGCACCTGGATGTGTTGTATTTGATTGGTTTGTACATGATGATGCTGCTGCTGCGACTGAGACTGCGCCTGCTGCTGCTGCTGCTGGACCTGAAGCTGGGCGGCAGCAGCCACCTGCGTCTGAACCTGACTGGCAGCCGTTGCCTGTAACAGTGTGGCCGTGGGGATTTCGATGGTTTGCGTTGCTGTCTGCGCCTGTGCCACGCTGGGCACCTGCTGCTGTTGCTGCTGCTGCTGCTGCTGATCGTTGACCGCTCTTATGGTGCTGGGTATGGTCTTGATGATCTTATGATCGCTGAGCGGCAACGCCGGCAACTGCGGCTTCTCCTTCTCCTCGGCGGTAAGGCCCTGGACGGCAAGCAGCTCGGCTGTTTGCAGGAACGATTGCAATGCCTCCTGCTGTACATTTACCTCGCCCTAAAAGACACACATAACAGATTACCGATTACAAAATGGAATGCAATGGAATAGAGTGTTTTGATTTGAGGCGTACCTGGTACATGAACTCGATTATCGAGTTGAGATCTTCGAATTTGATAAACTTAAATATAATGACTGGATGCGGATGGGGATTCTCCTTGAATATCTCCTTAAAGTACGATGAGCACGAGGACAGTACCACCTTGTGGGCCTTGATCTTCCTGCCGTCCACGCACAGGGTGACATCGACGAAATCATCGTTCAGCCGGTGGTTGTCCAGTGAGTAGGTCAGGTGGCGCAGATAGTTATTCCACCGCAGCGAGTACTGCTGTGTCGTGGCCATCTCCGCTACTGACTAATCCAATTAGCCGCCAATGCAGCTTGCTGGTTCTTCTTGTTGTGCTCGATTTTTTATGTTGTTTTCCAGCTGGTGAGAGATACTGGGGGCGGACTGCAGCAATCTATACTGAGCTGCCCACCACCCTTGCAGGTCTTTTCTAAACCACCACTGGGGGCCCACAGGCCACGGGCCACAGGCACCTCTGGACCAGCGCAATCGACCCACCAAGAGGTACCGCAGCACTGTTCGATTGATCAATTCTTAACTTCTGCTCGATTTGTGGCTTAAATATTGTTTCCAGCACCGTGCTCGCTTTTTCGCTATCTCTCTCGCACCGTTTCCGATTATTTGCTCACGTTTGTTAATGTTTGCGGGCAAATTACACACGAATTTTTTTATGTACGCTGCGGCCAAACAAAAATATTATATGCCACCATTTTGTTTTTTTGATAATCAAAAAGTAACCCTGTGCACCAGGGCTGGAAATGCGCAGAGAATATCGTACTATGCACAAAATGCAATAGATGGCGCTAGCAATCCAGCTGGAGCTGCCAGATGGTTACAATAAGACGTTAGAAATTTGAAAAATTGCATTTACCATTACCAAACAAATGTATGTATTTTCTTTAATATTAAGTTTAGTACGGTTATGGGGGGTGCTAAGCATCTATTTTTGGGGGAAGAAAGTACAAAAAAAAACAACTAGTCGTGAGAGTTGCGTTACCACAGACTCACGACAAATTTGTAGATTAGGCGCAACAAGAAGCTATAAACAATGGCCCGGCATAGATAGTCCAGCACATAGAAGATCTTCATGCGGAACCGGGCACTGCTGCTGCTTATGGGACTCTCGTGCAGCAGGAACTCCTTGGCGCCACGAATGGCATGCTGAAAGAACTCCACATAGTCGATGTTTGCATGCTGCATAAATCCAAAACTGTCACTGCGGAGAGGAGACAGAATTAACCAGAGGATAACCAGGGGCACCAACTGGTCGATGGACTTACATTTCATTTGCGGGCACCAGGCTGTGCAGATCCCGGAAGTTTTGGTTCTGGAAGTGCCATTCGGTGGCAGCGAACACCTGCAGGGCACTGAACGCGGCAAAAATTCGTCGCTGCAGCTTCATCAGGCTGTAATATTGGAACCAGGAATTGGATCAGATCAGACCAATCCTATTTCTCTGGCGGAAAAGCCATACAACTTACAAAGGCTTCTCGTTGTACAGCCGCAGCAGAGTGTCCACCACAACAGCCATCAGAAGGTGCATGGTGCAGAACTGTAATCCAAAGGGGGCAATAGAAATACCACCGATAATATATTCAATGCCCACTCACTCGTATGAAATGCAGGACCGGACACAGGGTCATACTCCCGCCGGGCAGCCAGAGGGTCTTCTCAAACGGATTCTCACGGATGTAGGTCTTGCCAATCTCGATAACCTCGCCCATGGTGATTTTTGAGATATTGGCCGTGGCACAGTTGACCACATAGAGCGGCTTATCCTTGGCCGTTGCCTGTGGCTCGACCAGGAACTTGTATGCGGCCAGGATCAGGCCGCGGGCCACCACATCGGCGGGCACGAAATCGGAAACAATATTGGGATCGCAGTTCTGGGAGCGCAGGATGCCCACGCCACAGGCCACCAGCAGTCCCGTGGGACCGTTAAAGTTGTCCGCCCACCCAGGCACAGGCTCCTGAATGGTCGACACCACTGTGGGGGTATACGGAATTATATACATGTTAAAATTTGGAATAACGTAAAGCAAGTCTTTACCGATGGATGGCCTGAATATGAAAATGGGCAGCTGATCCTTGTAATCGTTGACCACGTGCTCGGCCAGACTCTTGGTGAAGGTGTACGAATTGGGCTGGAAGTTGCCATATCTGCAAGGAAAGCGAAGCCCATAATCTAGATGTTCGTCCGTCCTCCTGCCAGCCACGCCCCCAGCCACTCACTTGAGGTTGAATATGTCGAGGGTCTCCTCGTCGTAGGTCTCCGCCAGCTTGATGGTGGTACGCCAGTCGGCATAGGCCGGATATATGCTCTCCTCCACCTCCAGCACATGCGGATTCGAGTACGTGGTGGACACGTGGACGAAGGCCCGCAGTTTCTTCCAGGCCAGGGCCAGTTTGACGAGCTCATGGGTGCCGCGTGTGTTCATTAGGATGGCGGATCGCAGCGGATCATCGAAGCTAACCGAAAAACATCACAATGAAGCAATGCAGCAAGCTATATTTTAATCCATTCTATTCCGTCTTACCGTACACTGGCCGCCGAGTGATAGACAATGGTCACATTACGTAGCCTCTCCAGATCGGCTGCAGAAATGCCCAGACCCAGCTGTTCTACGTCCCCGGCTATGGGCACAAGCTTGGACCACGCCTCCGGCTGCTCCCTACGCAGGCGCTCATACAGCTTTGTCTCCCCCTGCAACCGTAGACGCTCCTCGATGCTGTGCCCCTTCTTGGGTCGCATCAGAACGTAGATTTTCTTCAGAGTGGGGCATGATCGCAACAGCTTTTCGATGAGGGCCTTTCCAACGAAACCTGAGAGTGTCCATCAGGTCAGTCGTTAAATTGGATCAATATCGGATGTTGATACCCACCCGAGGCGCCGGTTACGAAGATTTCGTGATCCTTAAAGGCCGCTGCTATAGACATCGTATTACTCCGCGCGGATCGCTGTCCCAAATCGTTCTGGCTCCAGGCAGTGGGCGAAGTACGGCCCGGTCCCGGTTCCGGGCATATTCAAATCGGGGAACCGCACGCTGCCGACCCCCCGGCTCGAGGTCGCATGAATATTCAGGGGACCGGGGGACCAGGGAACCAGCAGCCCCGCGGATTTACATTGTTGCCGCTGTAACAGTGGATACATGACTAAAGAGACCAGGATCCCGGTTAAATATATGTGTGTGATCCTGGAACGTGGGGAGTCCCGGTTATCGCTCGGTCGTGTCTTTTGTGGGCTAACTCTACCAGCAGACACTTTCCCTTTTTGCCCGCAGAAATGTGTAGTTGTGTGTACAAGCCACTCTTCTGGGCGAAAATCTCTTAAAATCTAGGGAAAACCGCATACTTCCACCTGAGCGAAATATCACTGTAATTCTTCTTCTAGTGATGGGTGCCATTCCGTGCTTCCCTTCCCTTCCAGTCGAACGTATTCTAGAACAAATTTCCGGAAACACCAAAAACCAACAACGAAATGGAACCGTTGAACCCAAAAGAAACAAATCAAATTAGAATCGAAAAGAAAGCGCCATAAGAGAATTTTTACCGTTTCACACGCTCTTTCCAAAGCAAGCAGTATCAGGTCCTAACTGTGTGCGTTATTCGTGTGCGAGTGTATGCATGTGTGTTGGGGTGCTCCTTTTCGTTTTCCTCTGTGTGCACGCACTCCGCCTGCACGTGTCTGTCCCAATCTTGATTAATTTCGATCCAAAACTGAACCAACAATTTGTGCCAGCGTTTTTTTTTCTATCTCTTACTTATGGCCTGCGCTATGCTGCTCTTTGTATAGTTTTCAACACTTAAAACGGCACTTTAATCGCAGCGACATCGATGAGACGGCCGTTCGTCTTGTAAGTCATTAACATCGGTGTTCGTGCATGTGCGAGCGAGATGCAAGCGCTTCTCCGGCCGGCCACAGGCGTCTGTTAAAGAGTTCTAACAGCTGTTAAGCAGGTTTTAAGAGCATTCACAGCATCCACAGCTTCGAACTTCAGTTCACTGACCCATCGACGCTCCCAACCAGCCACCCAGCGATAACTGCCAACGGCACTTACCCCAACCATGACACTACGTTAATATTTCAAGAGTTTGCACTCGTTTTGGTTGTGTTTTTTAGTTGCATTTTCACATTTTAATTAACATTTTCAGGCGTAAACTTATCATTTGATACGCATGCAATTAGAAAAGTATACAAATAAAAAAATTACACATGTATTTATGTCGTATGTATGTATGTGGGAGTACCGTATGCAAAAACCACTCTTCTGCAGTCGACGGCAAAGCATCAGCAGCAGCTGGCTGCAGTCACATTCATGTATATGCATATAATATATGATGTATGTATGTATGTTTGGGTATGGGTGTACGAGAGTTGTGGTGCGAGCGCAGCTTGCCGGCCGGCGAAATGACAGCGGGAAAGAGAGCGAGTGGTCAAGCAGAGCACAAGCATGAACAGGAGCAGAGCAGAGAGTGAGAGTACAGAGATAGAAGACGAGGAGATAGAAGAAGAGAAGACTAGGTTGATTTTCTTTCGTTTTCATATTTTTGTTTCACTTGTTTTTATAATTACATCATAATTAAAAAATAATACATAAGGTTGCTTTTTAATTTTACAAAACGCTAGTGTGTTGTTTGTGTTTTGCTTTCATTTTTGTTTTTGTGTTGTCTTTTTTTGCTTTGGGGGAGTTGAATGGTTCTTCTGGATGATGTTGAATGTTCTTGTGGTTGTCCTTGTCAAGCCGACTCCACGCACTTTTGCGTTGTATGTGTGTGATTGTGTGTGTTTGTGTGTGCAAGGGAGGTGCGAGCGTGTATAGTGTCGTCTGTATGTGGTTGGGTGCAAGCGTGTGTGAGAGTGTTTGCTCTGTCCGTGGAATGGCAGATAATGTTGTTCTAGTTTTCATCTCAGTTTTTTGTTATATTAGGGATATTCAAAAAAAAAACAAAAATACATATTATATCATATCTCATGTGGAATAAATTAATTAATGCTAGAACACAACACGGAGCCGTCTCCCACCACCCACACCCATGGGATGTGTATTCTCTCCGCCAGGGTGTGGGCGTTGGAGGCGGCGTGAATGATGGTCTTCTTGTTGTGCTGCACTCCTTCGACACGTCAACTAAACTGCCGGCACTACTCGCACTCGCTCTCGCTCTGCCTTGTCTTCCTCCGTCGTCACCCCCTTCCTCTCTTCCGCCCGAGGGCGAGTTGTCCACCGCCAGACTTAGAAGCACTTGCGGTGCACAATGGATGGGCCGGACTCGTCGTACTCCTGCTTGGAGATCCACATCTGCTGGAAGGTCGACAGCGAGGCCAGAATGGAGCCACCGATCCAGACGGAGTACTTGCGCTCTGGGGGAGCAATGATCTTGATCTTCATGGTTGATGGGGCCAGGGCGGTGATCTCCTTCTGCATGCGATCGGCGATGCCAGGGTACATGGTGGTGCCACCGGACAGGACGGTGTTGGCGTACAGGTCCTTACGGATATCCACATCGCACTTCATGATCGAGTTGTAGGTGGTCTCATGGATGCCGCATGCCTCCATTCCCAAGAACGAGGGCTGGAACAGGGCCTCGGGGCAACGGAAACGCTCATTGCCAATAGTGATGACCTGTCCGTCGGGAAGCTCATAAGACTTCTCCAGGGAAGAGCTGGAGGCAGCGGTGGCCATCTCCTGCTCGAAGTCCAAAGCGACGTAGCACAGCTTCTCCTTGATGTCGCGCACGATCTCACGCTCGGCTGTGGTGGTGAATGAGTAGCCACGCTCCGTGAGGATCTTCATCAGGTAGTCAGTCAGATCGCGACCGGCCAAATCCAGACGCAGGATGGCGTGAGGCAGGGCATAACCCTCATAGATGGGGACAGTGTGGGAGACACCATCACCAGAATCCAAGACGATACCAGTGGTACGACCAGAGGCGTACAACGACAGGACAGCCTGGATGGCCACATACATGGCGGGTGTGTTGAAGGTCTCGAACATGATCTGAGTCATCTTCTCACGGTTAGCCTTGGGGTTCAGAGGGGCCTCGGTCAGCAGAACGGGGTGCTCCTCGGGGGCAACACGCAGCTCGTTGTAGAAGGTGTGATGCCAGATCTTCTCCATATCATCCCAGTTTGTCACGATTCCGTGCTCGATGGGGTACTTCAGAGTGAGGATACCACGCTTGCTCTGGGCCTCATCACCCACATACGAGTCCTTCTGTCCCATGCCAACCATGACACCCTGGTGACGTGGGCGGCCGACGATCGATGGGAACACGGCGCGGGGTGCATCATCTCCAGCGAAACCGGCCTTGCACATGCCGGAGCCATTGTCGACAACGAGAGCAGCAACTTCTTCGTCACACATATTGTAAGCTGCAAGGATACACAAAAGACAACAAAATTAGTTCCGGTTAAACTCAACGTTCGCGAGAAAGAGCGAGAGGCACAGGATGAATTGCAAGTTTGAGCCGCAGGGAAGGGCCCCACCCCGAAAGAAAGAACGGCCAAGACACAAAGCACTCGAATGCCGGTGCAAAAGAGTGCTTGTCTGTGTGCATGTTCGTGTGCGTGTGTGTGTGTATGCGGCAAAGGCGCTGTAAAATGGCGGCCGAAAAAGAACACCGAAAGAGAAAAAACGAAATTTTTTATGGATGCCGGTCTGGCAGAACAATCTAGAATCACGCGTATATTTTCTTTTCATTTTAAACCAAAAAAAGGAACAGTTACACTAAACTTGAAAAAAAGAAGAAACTTCTAGGCGTTTTCAGCGCTGGCTAACAAGGCATTTGCAAAAAAAATCGCGTAATATTTGCAGTGAAATGTAGTTTTCAACTAAGCCACTTTGATTTTAATTTTTTTCAGCACTATTTAATTTACCTTTTTTGTTTCAAAAAACGAGTTTAAAGGGAATAACTGATGTTCGCACAACAACTTGGTTGGGATTTCGAAAAGTTAATGCAACCGCACCGTTTGACCGCCGAAAGAGGAATGAACAGAACAGGCCGGGCTGTGGCAGCGGCAATGCTAGTTAACAACGATTCAATGGCGCTGGCAGCGTCGGCTTTGACGCGATAGCTGTCTCGGGTGTGCGCTCGTGTATGTGTGTGCCGACTCGCTCTAGCCTGCACATTTTGAGCGGCTGCCAGCGCATGCGTGCGACAGAGAGCGAACGAGTCGAATCGACGAAGCCAACTTTTGTGACCATATATGGTCATGTTTCGAAGCGAAACGCTCGCTTTCGCTCTCACACACACACCCACAAACACACTCGCATACTCCCGAGACTGACGCCGAAGGTTTTCTCCATTTTTGCACAGCTACGACGGCAGTGACTTCGGCAACTTGTACACATACATATGTGCATGCACATGTACGTATTTATTGAAGCCGGCATTTTAGAGCCCCGCCGATCAAGTCTTTCCAAATAACTTTAATGACGCGATTCTGTTACTATTTCTGGCCGCCTACAAACGCCACAAACATTTATGGATTGTGATCTGCCTACGTCACAGGCGCGACAAGTCTGTTCTATGGCATGGGACCTATAACCATGATCTGCTACAGATCTTTGGGGCTTTGCGTGGGCCGGCCACAGTGAACGTCTAACAATTATTTTGCGAATCTCGCTTTCAGGGAAAGTTATTTTTGGGCGTGGGAAAAAGAAAGCCGTTCGCGAATTGAATTTCAAATGGCAAAAGCGAAACTGTCACCAAAGATTTCGGTCTACTTCTTTCCCCACTTGGCTGTCTTGGGTGAAATCGTAAAATGGCGCGTGACACGCCCAGTCATCTGCAGATACAGATAGTACATATATATGTACATGTCTAGGTAGATTAGAACTAATCTGAATGATAACAATAGTAGTTGCAGTAGTTCTGTGGGTGCATTCTCAGCTAAGACGTTTCCCAGTCGAATTCCTCTTTTGGAATGACATATGCCATGGGGAGATTTTCCAGCAAACTCTGCTTTTTTAATGTCATAAACTTTTCTGTTAAGAATAACATTTTCATTCGCATATTTTTCGTCAAACTTGTCCAACACTTTTCACACTATCACACAAAAAAATGTAGTTATCATACAAAAACATTTGCACTGTTTTTTTTTTTCGGTCTCACGGTTTGCGATGGCTTTTTTAAAGGGACGGTGAGGGACGGATTCTCGGACTTTTCTGGATCGTATCGTTTCGAACTTTTTAGTATACTTACATTTGGTCTGTTTTGTTTAAAATTAATTAAATTAATATAAATTAAGTCTTTCGGTTGAGTGTCTTTTGCGTAGACGACTGCTGGCTGATTGGAGAGCGGTGTTGTGTCGGTTGGGAATATCCAAACAGCACAAGAACTCAAACTGTAATGATATGAAAACTGGTCGTTGCTTGCCGTTTTATAAAGCCCGCTTTCCAGCCGGCTACGTCACTCACGCTCATGCTGCGCTCAACTCCTTATCAGCGACATTTCTCCATTCCGCAGCCAAGTTTACCATATATGGGTATGAATTGTTCGCCAGTCGATTTTCAAGAGAATTTCCACGCTCACGAGACGAGCTGGTGTGGTGAGCGAGTGAACATGGGTGTGTGCCTGCTCTCAATGGTGTATTGTAGTTTGTATTGGTTCGCGAGGGGTTCGTTCACTTTGTTTTTGGGCTTGTTTTAAAAACCTCTTTCATCGGTCAGTGCGTATCTGCAAATTCTTACATGTGACTCAGGCAATTACTCATGACCACGCAATAATCAATTCTTATCGTTCCATTCCTTGAAATTTATTTAAAAAAACCTTCAATCCACATGCTTTTGTAAAGCTTTATTCATACATATATTTTAACATACACAATGTTGCGTTTTTTGTATGAATCGAATGTGAGAGACATTAAACATTTTTTTAACAATTTGGCAAATTGTAAAGTTTAGAATTGTCTTATTTTTCTGAACTCATTCTGTAATGATGTTCTACATAGTATGTAAACTTTTTGAAGGGCATTCATAAGTTGCATTGAATAATGCAGTACGAAAGCCGCAAGCCGGTTTCAGCAATAACGGCGCCAGCAGAAACAGCTGCAACAACAACGCGTTTGCGCAACAGAGATGAAGAGAGAATCACTCACACAAACGCACACAACCTGTATGCTGCGCTCTTGCTCTAGCCTGCGGCCTGCTGCCCAGAGGCGTTGTTGTATTTGTTGCCCACAAGCGGCTCCGAGCTTGATAAGCCGCTGGCTGAGTCGGCTCGGCTCTCCCAAGATTTTTCAAGAGCTGAATGTTTCCAACTTTAAAATTTAAAAGCATGCAAATACTATTCCAACTGTATTTCCACTAGACAAAAAATTCCGCAAATCAATCAGAATTTTTTTGTGGTTATCCCCCATTTTCCATTTTTTGTGCTCCTCTTGCAAAAAAGTGAAAGAGTAACTGCCGTGCATTTGTATACATACATACATATATGTATGTATGAGCTTCTCTGTGCGTGTGCCTGTCGAGAGAGCAGTTTTTGTAACGGCAAACCAACTTTTAACATCCATTGCTCACACATGGCAATAAATAAATAAATAGGCATTTTGTTGTTGGGGGGGAATAGCTGTTTTTTTATTTATTTGTTTTTCGTTGACTAATCTGTGGTTAAACAATTTACTATTTCGAGCCAAAGTGACGCACAAAAGGAAAGACAGAAAGAACTGAACGGAACATGCTGGGCGATAAGCGAAGAAGCAGGCGAGAGGCAGAGAGAGACAGACACTGTGCCTCCCTCTCTCGCATAAGCATAAAAAGAAAACGACACACCACACTACTCACACAGCGGGCACGCACACACACACACACGGTGTCAATGTTTGGGCAACTGGTCAAAGGAGTGCCACCAACTGCGGCGGTGACGTCGCGCCCAGCCACAGCCCGACTCTCTGTATTTCTTTCTCGCTCTCTGCTTGTCCACAGCCACTTTTGGGTTTGTTGTCGGCTTTTGGTTTTTTTGTTTTTTGGAAGAAATTAAAATCGTTGCAACAATTCCATTAAAACAACTGAAACAAATCACCAAATTGCATAGCAGTTTTTCAAGGTAAATACCGAAATCGGAGTTGATTCTCATGGACTTATTCGCAGACGTCAGCATTCCCAAATTAAATTCCATTCGATTCGCAACTTCTTTCGAGTTCGGGTTTGACTTTGAGTTCGTGTTCTTCTTGTTGTTCTTGTTCATCGAAGAAAGAGAGTAGCGTAGCAGCAGCGGCAGCGAAAGCATCAGCGACAGCCACAGCGACAACGACAGCGACAATTTTATCGCCGCTTGAGCTAGCTACATAGCTGTCTCTGAAAATTGCCTTGTTCTAACGGTCCGATGAATCGGCCGAGCAACTGGACCCACAAATCATTCCAGAATGCCACAAGCAAATTGGAACTGGAGAACTGGTTGGAAAATCTCCATCAAAGTGTTCCAACCATGGCGACAGACCATCTGCAAAACAACATCCATATCTTGCAAGTGAGATTTCTCAATTAGGCGAGGAATTGGCAACAAATTTTCCCCGGCCGCTAACCTTCTCATTGAGGGGTTATGAAGGAGAATGCAAAGTGCTGTTCGGCTGTAGAGGGGCTATAATTTATTGTCAATTCAACATGTATCTACATATGTACATAAATAACTGGCTTTTTATTGAAACTAGAAATACTTAAAATTGCCAAAAACAGCGTCGTTGATGATGACTTTGAAACCGCTATGCACACACATGTAGCCGTGATCAACGACCTTTCTCCAAAAGTACGTAACTCGTCACGTTTTCTACACACAGACACACATGCACAAACGCCCATCAACCCGTGGTGGAGACAACTACAAGCTCTACCCTCCCCATCTCCTCCTAAAAGTTCGCTCAGCTTAAGTACTGTGTAAACGAAGCAGATGCTGACTACGACCTACAATTTAGCTGCTGCTTGGTTTCGCCAGTACTTAAACTGACAGCAGCTTCGCTAATGCTATCTATGTATGTATCTGGCCTGGGTTAAAGCAAAGCGCCATTGTCAAGGTCATTGAAATGTGAAAATTTTCGTTCATTTTTCGCAATTAAATTGTTTTTCTCTCCATTTCTTGCGTATTTGTATTGCACCATTAACATACACGCATGGCCGGGGTTGCCACTACTGCAACCGCTTTTGGTCAGGTTTTGGAGTTTGCAAAAAACATTTTCACTTCAACATTTTTTGTCTGTTTTGTTTTGTTTTTTTGTTTCTGGCTATTTTGGCTTTGCATCACAATTGGCCATGGAGATGAAGGAGGAGGGATAATCATTAATTGCTGTCTTAATTAGTTTGCGTGCGCTTAGACAGCGCGAGAGTGCGAGACGGAGAAGGTAGACATACTCGTTGTGGATCGTGCGTGCGTTGGCGTCGACAGATGCGAGAGAGAGATAAGTACATAGTGGCAAGGCCGTGGACAGTTAGTTTACTTAACCCTCGAGGCGAAAAAACGTTTGGAAAATACGCACACATACTCGCCCTCCACTCAAGGATAAAATTGATAGAAAACAATATATGTATGTACATTATTTACTGTATTTCTTCTGCGCTTTATTTTGTGCCTATATTTATGTACATAAATATGCCATAAATACCAGCACGAATATGTTAATGCTAAATTGTCGAATTTCATTGCTAATTGCTCTGTTAATTACTCAGACATTGTTTCTGCACTGGAGGAGATGCGCCACGATCGCAAGATGGCTTTAAGGAGAAGCTGCAAAGTTGCCATTGCGTGTCTGTGTGTGTGGGAGTGTTGTGGCAGGAGCTGCTGCGGGAAAGTGAAAGAAAAATTAGTAATTATTATTATTTTATTTGCTTTGACGTGTGCTTTCACTCGCACTGCGCGGACTGCAATGCCAATGTTCGGTTAACGGAGTGCGTGCCCGTCCCCTATCCCCATTCGTCTGGTCCGTCTAGTACGCTCACTGAACTTTTTTTTCGCGATCTGACGCGCTCTCCTCGCTCCCTCTGTCTCTCTCTCTACTTATCAGATATTCTGAGATGAGATGGAAAAACTTCCATAAGAACGATGAGTAACAAATGTAAGCGATTTGTGGGTGTGATGTATTTTTCAACGAAATCCCTTTTAAAATTGCTCAATTAAAAGGTTGTCTGGGCAGGGCGACAAAAATTCATTGAGTCATTCATTTAGTTTGGCTGCCAGACATCACACACACACACACACACTGACTGAGCGCTCGATTTGGTTGATGTGGTGCGACAGGGATGGGCACAGGAACAGCAGCAGCATCTGACTTCAGCAAGTAAGGTGTAACAGCAATTGTAAAATATGTGTGTGTGAGAGACAGACAACAGACCAGACGCTTAGACGGCGGCTCTCTCCCGACACCTTTACCGCCGCCGCCTCTCTGGCTCTAGGCTCTTTTCTTGTTTCTTTTCTTCTTTCACGTCTTGTCTTGTTTATGGCGGCGCCAGCTTAGGCGAGACGCGTTGTTGTAGTTGTTATGTCTACTACTTCTGCTGGCTTGGGCATCGCATCTGATTAGCGCTGCGGCTGGCATTGGAAGAAATGTGGGCAAAAAGTGGCAAAAACTTTACGTGGGTGGGAGTGCGAGGTCGGTCGGTCTACTGAGCAGCAGCAGAAGCAGCGACTGGTAATCCGTCTTTGAAACTGTAGCAACAGCAGCAGCAGCAGGAAAGACCAGCTCTTTGCTCTTGGCCTCGCTGGCAGAATGGTTGGATGCACAACAACGAAGCATTGTCTTGGATATTCGACACTTTTTAACTTTCAGAAAATGTTTGCATTTTAGACTAAAAATTACATTGTGTTGTGTTTTTTTTTTCCGATAAATATAGCCAATGATCTGCTCATGGCATAGTCTCCCAATAAATAATTTACATACTTACACCACTGGTGTGTGTATATGTACGTATGTATGTATTATGTAAATGAGATGTCCAACAGAGTATGCCGTAGGTCACAGTCGCTGTTAGCTTCACGCCGTATTTATAAGGCTATAGCAACATATTTGCATGGTGAAGTAACTGGGAAAGAGAGAGAGATAGAACTATTATACAGTGTGTACGTACGCCCAGGGTTACACTTCGATCGTGTCTCTCCTAAACTTCAGAACTCTCCAGCTAATCATCACTGTGGCTAGAGCTAGCCGCAAGAATGTGGGTTGCAAACCTTAAAGAGGTTTCTAATGATAATTTCTATATATGTATGTATGTATGTGTTTTCTTGTGTATTTCATTGGGAATACATACAGTACCTAAGCATGCAACATATGCGAGAGAATAAGTGCGCCTACAGACTAACACACACACACACGCCCTATTCCTGTTCCCATTACCAT